ATCAGATTCAATAAAGAAAATTATAACAGAGGAAATTAAATGAGAGAATTGAGAATTATCATAAATATACAAAATAAAATTTAAAATATATTCTAATTGTCAATATGTTAAATATCTGTATTTCTTTAACTCAATACATCTTGATCATAAATTGAGAAGATGAATTTCATTTTTTAACAGTTCCAATTTATTATGAATTGTGATATTTCTTCCTAAATTAAATGAATAATTTTTTTTCTTTTAAACTTATTTTAGATGACAGAATTTAAGAAAATTTATTAAGAAGTTTATTCTAATTGTTTTCTAAAACTTATTTATTTGATTAAACAAAAAGTTTCTTTTCTTTTTTTAAGTTAATCATTATTCTTGATATGAAATTTGATTAATTCAAGCCCAATCATATCAATACTAAATGATTTTCTAAGGGTAATAATTTATCACCAATATATATTCCTTAATTAGCTGCACTGTTGTATCTTATTATTTTTGGAATACTACTGATCATAACAAAATTTATGAAGACATTTAGGAGCCATCTTATTTATAATTTTTCCAACTTTTATTTAGCGCCTAAAACTATTTTGTACTTTATCCTAAACTCACTTAGTTTTTTTAATAAATAACAAGATGTATTTCAGAAATGCTTATAAATAATTTGGTAAAGTTATATACTTATTTGATATTAAATACTAATTAATAGGATTAATATTGATACATACTTCAATATAAATTATGAAGATGGATAGACAAAATTTGCAATAATAATCTGTTAATTCTATTTAAAATTTATATATATTTTAGGTATTGGCTACTTTATGTTTATGATTCTGTCCACATATAAGGATTTCATATAATTGTTAAAGCAGCTCTACTTTTAATATTTAGATTGATAACTTTTAAGACTCAGTAGTTAAATATGAAAGACATTATCTAACATAAAATTTTGATATATAATAGTATTTTAGTTTAGTATAAGTTGTTTAGCCTTTTTAACTAATTGTAGTGATCTCCAACATCATAAAAATAAATTTTTGTTAATCTTTTGAAC